TCTGGGGTGCTCCCTATTTCAGGAAATAGGGAACCAATATTCCAGGAAAGTGAGGGCACTCTGGTGTAAAAGGGATGCACAGAACCACATTAATTCAGAATCAAAGCATGGTCTTACACTTCCCAGATCTCGCAGAGCTGTCATGACACCTGCTTTCTCCGTTTCTGTTTTTGGCATCTCTCTCCACTGGCCTCATTAGGGCTTCCCTGGTGACTCAGATGGTAAAGCGTCTGCCTGCAGTGAGGGAGACCCGGGTTCGATCCCTGAGTTGGGAAGATCCCTTGGAGAAGGAAATGGCAACCCACTCCAGTGTTCTTGCCTGGAAAATCCCATGGACAGAGGACCCTGGTAGGCTATAGTCCATGGGGTCGCAAAGAGTCGGACACAACTGAGTGACTTCACTTTCTTTCTTTCTTTTCTCCATTAGCCTCAGAGGTCCAGAGCCTGATGCTTCCCCTTGACACACTTCCTTACCTCAAACTCTCCTTTCTCCCATTTCAGCCACCCCCATCCTCCCCTGGTGTTTTGCAGTCAACGGTACTTTTTGTCACATTCTCTGTGTTTCACTTTGAAGCTTTTACTCCATCTGTTTATTTACTCATCCCGGCAGGAAAATTGGAAATGGAAAAATCTGTTCTAGGGCTCAGGATTATGTCTAATGATATTTCTAGTGTTTGAAAGACAACAACAACAAAAATAAAGATCATCCTTCATTTTGCCAAAACCCTTCCACGCATATGCCCAGATTCATATGTATTTTTTGAGAAACTTGATATACTTTTTCTGACTCATTTACATTTGCTGCTAGTCATCAAAAGGAGCCATAAAAACTTTTGGATCCTCTCCCTATGAACCAGGAAGTTCCACTTCCCCTTCAGTCACCACCTCGAAAGGCTCAAGTTGCCATTTAAACTCACCAGGATGCCGTATTATTGGCAAGATGCCTTCTCTTTGTCCTCAGAACCCTCAGCCCTGTAACAGAGACCAGCAATACAGCCCATGATCCCTGTAATAAGCATAGCCCTGGAAGAGCCAAAGGCCATCAAAATAGACACAGATATTAATTCTATCAAACATTTAAAGAAGCATTAACAGCAGTCTTTATTACCCTGATACCAATGCCAGATAAGGGCAATACAAGAAAACTAAAGACCAATATTCCTGAGGGATATAGTTGCAAAAATTCTCAATAAAATCCTAGCAAACCAAATTTAAATGTACTGATATTAACAGAATCATGCTAGATGATCAAGTGGGGTTTATCTCTGGGATCCAAGAATGGTTCAACATACACAAATCAGTTAATATTTGTCTTTATCTGACTTAATTCAGTTAGTATGATAATCTAGGTTCATCCATGTTGTTGCAAAATTGCATTATTTCAGTCTTTTTTATGGCTGAGTATTATTCCATTATATATGTATATATGTACATATATAATGTGTGTACATATACATATGTATGTATGTACATATATCCATATTTTTAAGGATAAAAATATGATCCTTTCAGTAGATGTGGAAAAGCATTTAACAAAATTCAATATACATTAAAAATAAAAACTCTCAGCAAATTGGATATAAGCATTGCACTCCAACCCAGTAAGGGCCACATATAACAAACCCACAGCCAATATCATACTCAATAGCAAAACGTTATACACTTTTCCTCTAAGATCAAGAACATGACAAGAGTGCCCATTCTCACCATTTGTATTCAACACAGTACTGGAAGTCCTAGCCCAAGCAATCAGTCAATTAAAAGAAATAAAAGGCATCCAAATTGGAAGGGAAGAAGTAAAATTGTCCCTATTTGCAGATGACACAATCTTATACATAGAAAATCCAAAAAACTCCACCAAAATCTGTTAGAACTAGTCAATGAATTAAGTAAGTTCTACATATAAAATAACATATGGAAATCAGTTGTTTTTTTAATATACTAACATCTGAAGAAGAAATAAAGAAAACTATCCCATTTACAATAGCACTAAAAACAAAAAAAGTACTTAGTAATAAGTTTAACTTAGGAAGAGAAAGATCTGTACACTGAAAATTACAAGGCACTGATGACAAAAATTAAATATACAAATAAATAGAAGATATCCTGTATTCCCCTTGAGGAGGAAATCGCAACTCACTCCAGTATTCTTGCCTGGAGAATCCCAAGGACAAAGGAGCCTGGCAAGTTATAGTCCATGGGGTTGTAAAGAGTTGGACACAACTAAAGTGACTTAACATAACATCCTGTGTTCATAGATCAGAACAATTAATATTGTTAAAATGTCTATGCCACCCAAAGCTATCTGTGGATTTCATATACTCTTATTAAAATTCCTATGACATTTTTCACAGAAATAAACAAACAATTCTAAAACTGTATGGAATCAAAAAAGATCTCCAATAGTCAAGTAACTGTAAGAAAGCACACACTGAAGGCAACACACTTCCTGGTTTCAAACTATATTACAAAGCTATGGTAACCAAAACAGCATGGAACTGGCATAAAACCAGACACCTAGACAAGTGGAAATGAATCAAGAGCCCAGAAATAAACTCACACATATATGGTCAATTAATTTATGACAAAAGAGCCAAGAATATACAATGGGGAAAAGACAGTCTTTTCCATGCATGGTGTTGGGAAGACCAGATAACCACGTGCAAAAGATTCTATTTCTGCTTTGTAAATAAGTTCCTTTGTGTCAGAATTTAGATTCCACATATAAGCACCATATGATATTTGTCTTTATCTGACTTAATTCAGTTAGTAGGATAATCTCTAGGCTCATCCATGTTGCTGCAAAATGGCATTATTTCAGTCTTTTTTATGGCTGAGTATTGCTCCATTATATATGTATGTGTGTGTGTGTATATATATATATATATATATGACATCTTTATCCATTCATTTCACATTTTTATTTTCTATATTCTGAGCTGATGTTTCACATTATTACAGAGCAAATATAACTTTGGACTCTGTTTCATAATAACAATAGCTAATTGAACACACCATCATGTTTCACATTCTCTGTCATGTCTCATAGTCACACTGTTGGGTCCCTTGCAATGTTCTCCACAATTGTGAGACCTGGGATAATGCAGCAGGAGCACACAACTCTCACTACTACCCAGTGCTTCACCCACCATAGGCAGAGAGTGCTCTTATCAACAAAACAGACCCCATCCCTCAGCATTTCATGGTGGATTAATCTGGTTTCCAACTGATTAAAGGTGTTTGCTTTTAATAAAAGAGAAAAGAATAAACGAGTAACAGCCAGTAGCTGCACTAAATTGCTACCAGCTGTCCCACAACTAGTACCAAGAGGTAAGCATTCTTTTTATAATCACGCAGCTTTTTCATATTAGATTGGCTGTGTGTTTTAGAAGACAGCCAAAGTTTTATTGGCTTTTCCAGATAATTGAAAAGATACTACAAATACTGATGACTGTTGGAAATTTTTAGAATTTTACAAATAACTAGTTTTGAGATAAAAGCACTTGTTTATAATTGCCAGGTTCTTGAAGCCCTTCCCTGCTCCACCTCCCCCCACCCCCCGCCAAGAAAGAAAATGTGACTGGAGAGAAGACACACAGAAGTCTAGTGAATCATCCTTTGATTCTCTTAATATTCTTGAAAAGATTGAGCCCCTTTAAACAACCTTGATTTTTTTTGTCCTCTCACTTGCCATTGAAACAGAAGCCTATGTAAGTTTATTATCTCTTCCCAAATTCTATGGCTGGATTCTCTTTGGTGTTGGTTCATCTCCATGGTATAGAATCCTCTCTTTTACTTCTTAAATTGAGGATTTTTTCATATACAAAACCTTGGTCTTTTCATGTTTCAAAAGGTTTCCTTGTCCAGCTGCTATTAGATTCTGTCTTTACCCCTTCTGAACTATATACCATTTTCTCTTTAACAATTTCCTCATGTTTCTTCCATCTGTTCTATCCAGAAAATGTGGGGCACCTTGTTAGAAAATTATTAAGTGTTTCAAGATGATCACAGCAAACACTAAACTAAGGATGGAGCCCTTCTGAGTGTGAGAACCTGTATGACCACGTGAGGCCAGTGGGTCTGCGAAAATAACAGCTCCACCACCCATTCCCTCTTTCCTTTTCCTGTTCAGCCCTCCACTCCTTGCTTTCCTGTTGAAAAGTTCCTGGGAAGCCAACAGAGGGAAAATCGGACTATGATCCTGCCTAGGCTAATGATGCCATGGTTGACTCATCTTAAAAAGAATTCAGTTCCTAGAGACATTTAATATTTTCTCACTTTCCTTCTCCAAATACGCCTGCTAATGTAGGATCTGGCCTCCCGGCAGATGCAGAGAACTTTTCAGAAACAGAGCTAGAGGTATCAAAATTATCTCTTATAAGCCTTGAGATGAAAATGTACTAACCTTTGTTTCTTTTCTCTTTTACTTTAATTTCCTGTGGAAACTTCCTTTCCTGGTACTAGAATGGAGGTAAGGTATTGTTATCGCACCAATGTTTTGTTTTGCTTTGTTTGACATGCCATTTTTTATCTATTATTTGTTGAGCACTGTAATCTTTCAGAAACTCTCTAATTTCTAATCCTTTAAATACTTTCACAAAAAGATGATGATGAAGATAGGTAGTATCTATTGAATACTTACTATGTGTCAGGCACTATGCTAAGGGTTTTACATACATTTAAAAAATTTATCGTTGGGACATCCCTATGAAATAGGTACTATTATTATCCCTATTATATGGAAAAGAAATTAAGAGAGTTACTTGGAATTGGAGACTATAAGTGACTCATACATCAAGTAAATGATAGGCTTGGAAAAGAGACATAGCACTGACTCCCAAACTCTCCCTCACAGCTTTATCCTGCAGATAAGAAAGTAAGACCTTATAACATCCTGAAATTTACAATGTTTTATTTGCATAATTTGACTTTCATAAAAATTCTATGATGTGTGGTAACTATTTTAACCTAGTTTTACAAATGATGAAATCAAAATTCAGAATGGTTGTGTGTATGCAGTTGCTCAGTGATGTCCTACTCTTTGGATTGTACTCCACTCCATGGATTCTAGCCCACAAGGCTCCTCTGTCCATGGAATTTTTCAGGAAAAAATACTGGAGCAAGTTGCCATCTCCTACTTCAGTGGATCTTCCCAATCTAGGGATAGAACCTGCATCTCTTGAGTCTCCTGCATTGGCAGGTGGATTCTTTACCATTGTGCCACCTGGAAAGCCCCCATCAAAATGGTTAACTAAAATAATAATAATAGTTAAGTTCTGCAGACATTTTGAGTACCACTTTTCTTATACTAACATTTCAGCAACTTTGTAGGACAAGAACTATCATCCCTCTTTCTTTATATGAGGAATCTGAGGCACAAAGAGCTGTCCAGACCACATAGCTAACTACAAAACCTCAATCTGAGCTCAGATAGTCAGAGTCAAAAACACAAATTCATAACTATAATGCTAACCCAGTTAACACAGCAACTAAACAGGACCTACAACTCAAGCCATTGATTGTAATTCCATGGAATGAAATAATTCATAGCATAAATAATAATTCATAGCCTAAGAAAATTTAGTGTGTTCTCAATCTTTTTCCCAATTCATACAGCTTTGATGCATTTGTTTACCTGGTAAATAAATTTATCAGGTATTTGAGAATTAGGTGGCTTCACCTATTTGAGAATTAGGTGGCTATCATAGTTCTAAGAGACAGCATACTGACCTGAAGGATACAACAGAGAAGCTTAATATTTACTGAAGAGATATACGGCATATATATGGAAAAAGGTAAATTGAAATGCAGGTCACCCATAGAAGAGATGTCATCTTTCATTCACTCATCCCTTCAGCACACCTGTCTTCTCTATGCATCTTTAAGCCACTCACCCTAGGAAACTTCCCTGGTGGTCCAGTGGTTAAAAACCCACCTTGCAATGCAAGGGACGCAAGTTTGATTTCTGGTTGGAGAACTAAGATCCCGTGTGCCACAGAACAATTAAACCCACATGCTGCAACTATTGACCCCACATGCTCTGGAACCCACGTGACACAACTAGAGAGTTTCGTGCACTGCAATGAAAGGTTGCACACGATGCAATGAAGATCCCACATGCCACAACTAAGACCTGATGCGGCCAAATATAAATAAATACTATTATGCTATTAAAAACAACAACAACACTAATTCTGGTGCTATATTGGAAAGTAGAGAAACAAAAGAAATTTTATGTATTCTCTGCACCCAAGGAATTGACATTTTCCTAGGGGACATAAACATACACACGCTGGGTTTAGAAGATCCTCTAGGGATGGAAATGGCAACCCACTCCAGTACTCTTGCCCAGAAAAATTACATGGACAGAAGACCCAGGTGGGCTACAGTCAAACGGTTGCAAAGAGTCGGACATCACACACACACACACACACTCACACCCCTACACAAATTACAGAACCACATAATGATGGAAGCATGCAGAAACCCTAAGGGCTCAAGGACAGAAATCATTCACATAGAACTATATGCAAATGAAAATTTTTAACTGATTATAGTCAAATAGATGCTAACTAAAGAAACTCCCATACCAGTTTCTGCTTGTGATAACTCAAGGACCTTTGGTTTTCTACAAAGGACAAGACAGTAAGTATAGGGATTTGTGAGCCATACAGTCCCTGCTGCAGCTACTCAACTCTGCTATGGAAGCACAAAAGCATCCACAGACAACTTGGAAATGGATGAACGGGGCTGTGTGCCAGTAAAACTTTACTTCTGGACACTGAAATTTGAATTTCATATAATTTTCACTCCTTTTGATTTCTTCTACCATTCAAAAAGATAAATACCACTTTTAACTCACAGGTGATATAAAAAGAGGCAGAGCGTCAAATTTGACCTGTGGGTTCTATTTGCCGACTCCCGTCTTAGAGAATGTGCATGTGTGTGTGCTAAGTGTCCAACCTTCACAGCCCTATGGACTGTAGCCTGCCAGGCTCCTGTATCCATGGTGTTCTCCAGGCAAGAATACTGGAGTGGGTTGCCATGCCCTCTTCCAAGGGATCTTCCTGACCCAGGGACCCAACTCGCGTCTCCTGCCGCTCCTGCATTGCAGGCGGATTCTTTATCTCTGAGCCACACAATCATAGACAAAGACATTAGACGTGAAAGGATAAAAACAATTCCAGTTTGCTTTGGAGACTGAGAGTGATGTAGAGCCTTGACCATCACATAAGTACAGTGAGAGGCCGGGCAGTTACTGTATAAGAAAGGAGTGTCACTATCGAAGGAGAGGTACAGTTCTCACACGGGAGGGCAGGAAAAGAAGGTGTGGCATTTCCGCTGAGGTGGTGGGGTTGTCCCCACCAACCATGGCATGGCTGGTCATCTGAATGTGCCCTTGGATAACGTATTATGTGTTCAAAGGGAGTAGATGTCTCTCTCATAGAAACTGGAGCATCACATTTTAAAACAGTGGACCCTTGAACAATTCAGTGGTCAGGGGCACCAATCAGTATCTTATATTTGGTGCTATATCTATGTGGTTCCTCCATATCCACATTTTTCATCCTTGGATTAATCTAACCATGCATGGGATGGTATAGAATGTAGTATTTATTGAAAAGGACTGCGTATAAGTGGAATCCAAGTAATTCAAACCTGTATTGCTCAAGGGTCAACTGTATTCTACAGAAAGGGATTCAAACATGCTAAAGCAGAGAGAAAATAAAAGTGAAGATGCAGTAAGAACCCTTCAAATGTTTCATTTGACCAACGAGAGCTATCTGTTACAAGAGAAACTAGAAAGGCTGGGATCAAACATCAGTGTTGATTCCTAAAAAGAAACTATACAGAAAGAGAGGTCAGGCGGATTTAGTTTGTCAGGAGGCAAGACAGGGACTGACTGCAAGTGCCATATTAACTAGAATTTTTGGAGGAAGTTTGGCAGATTATTCCAAAATAACCAGCACTCTGTGAACAGATCCCTGCAACCTCTGTCCCATTGCTGAATGAGCAACAGGACCGGCTGCCTCCGCTGTTACTCCATCTGCAGTCTCAAGAGCTACATGTGGAGAAACATGACTTCAGTTGGACAGAAAGGGGACTCATCAATTGCAAAAGTCAGAAGGCACCAATGGAAATTTTTTGCATTCATCTGTTTCCCTAGGTTTTGCTGTGAGCTCCTTAAAATAAATTTTTAAGTGATAAGGTTAGGAGGTTGAGGGGAAAAAAATGGCCCAATTGGCTTCCATATCTGTCCTCTGAAATTTGATCATCACATAAAATTTGAGGTTTATAAGTTGCCAAAATGAGGGAGATGTATTACATAGGATACACACACACACACACACACACACACACACATTTGTATATATTTGATTCTAAATATCCTTTGCCTTGTGGGCCAATCAAGCAATGATAATCTACAAAAGCTGTCTTTAATGCTCCCAAAACATCAGCAAGACACAGAAAATAAGCAAGAACCATACACTTTGTATGGTTTTTCCCAGGATGCAAATGGTTTTCACAGACTAGTTATCGTCAAGCTGGTATGAAGACAAACCAAAATTAAAATCAAGATCTTCTCCTTCTATTAAAAGCCTATTCCGCTTTTTCTTTCTTTTCTTTTGCATTATGTAGCTAATGCTCACAAATCAATGAGGACTCAGTACTATTAATTCACACTGAGGTTGTTCTAAAGATTTCTCTAGGGCTTTTTAAAAGAAAAGCAGCAGAAATTCAGAGAAAAGAATTGGTTAATTCATTATTAATAACCCTTATCTCTAAGGCTACTTTCATTAACTTTTCCTTTGTGTAATTTTTCTAAGTTTCCAATTTTTTTTCAAAAAATGGTTTTTGCTTATGTAATTAAAGAACAAAATCATGAACTTTTTATTTAAAAATATTAGTGGAAAAAATAAAGAAGTATTATTTAATAGTTATCATATGACCATGAAACACAGATGATTAATTCTCAACTCAGACAGACCAGAAGAAATATTTAACTTTTACATATTTTTTTTTCTAAGTGAAAACAGTCACTCTTCCTCTCCTTTTAAGGAAGGATTATCAATATGTATGGCCATTTTGTAAAACAGTTTGAGTTATTTCCAGTTATTAGGTATTATTATATTCAGTTTCTTAAAGCACAGTATCCTTGCTTCTCTCGAACTTTCTTAGTGTCATCCTACCTTGGGTTTCCTCAGAAGTTGAGTCATGAGCTATTTCTGGTGTTTTCTCAACCTTATAGGGCCCACGTTTTCTTGGGAGTTTTGTGTTCCCTTATTCAAAACCTTCATTTTTAAAACCCCCAATAAACTACAAGTAATACAATAAAATTCATGTTAACTAATTAGTAAAATGGTCATATGAATTATAAAATTATTCTATACTAGAAAACATTATTTTAAAATATAGTATTCCATGGAAGTTCATTGCTTTACCTGAATGAGTTGTATCTCATTTAATAAATTTGCTTCAAAGACAAGTCAATGATAATTTCTAATCAATTTTTCAAATTCAGATGAGATCTGTTAGCAGTTAAAACACTTCAATTAAACAAATTCCAGCTGTTTAATTTCTTCCTGAAATCTTTTATATAAAGATAATGAAATACTAAATTCCAACAGATGATCTAAATGATAAAGCAACTTGAATTTTCCATCCCTGTTAACAATATCGTATGGAAGGCATAAAGATATATTGAGACTATTACAGTGCCTGCACATAATAAGTACTCAATAAATATTTGTCAAATGAGTATAGGAGCTATAATTCTCAGCACTGCATTAAGGGAACAGTGGATATGTGGAGAGAGTACCAGCAGTGTTTTCATTTTCCTTATTGTCCTCTTCAATCATTATAGGCTTTTAATCTTATTTTTATGCCAGTACTTTTATTACTCATGAATACACAATAACCTGGGTTCAGGATAAGTATTTACATCACTTTACAGAATATGGCATCTTAAGTGAACAGATGACTTTCCCTAAGACATGTGGTGAGAAAATAGCAAAACTGAAGATGTTACTTAGCTCCTCTGAGAGTCATACAGACTCTTATCTGAGAGTCCAATGCTTTCTTCTCCCTACGTGCCTTTCTTCTTATTCTTTAATGGAATGTTGGGAAGATGTGTGGGTGGTAGGATCTGGGTATTGAAGATGTGTGCCACAAAATTCAAATGCTTACCTATCGTAACATTTAAATAAGCTATGGGAGAATTCAGTGGACAGAGGAGCCTGGAGGGCTACAGTCCATGGGGTCCCGAAGAATTGGACATGACTGAGCAACCAACGCTTTGCTTCCTAGAGGCTCAGTTGGTAAAGAGTCTGCCTGCAATGCAGGAGATCTGGATTCGAACCCTGGGTTGGGAAGATCCCCTGGAGAAGGGAATGGCAACCCGCTCCAGTATTCTTGTCTGGAGAATCCCATGGACAGAGGAGTGTGGCAGGGTACAGTCCATGGGGTCGCAAAGAGTCAGACACAATTGAGTGACTTTCACTTTTCACTTTTCATGTTTATAAAGCTGCAAGTTTTTGGATCAGACCAGTTACTACACTCAGTCACTTATTAATCATCATGATGAATGTGTTTTGTAGATGTATTTATTGCTATGTCAGCTTATTTGTAAGAAATGTGGAGTCAAATTTTATTTATGATGAAAATAATAAAAAGTACTCCCACACATTCTGGCCTTGAGACTTTCTAAAGCTTTCCACATGGTTATCAATTTGGATCTTCATCATAACCTCTGGAGTAGCTAGAGGTAATATAATTGCTGCTGGAAATGACAATATTCAGATGGAACATTTCAACCAGTTTGCCAGTACAATCTTCTATTTCTGTGATGCAGATGTGGAAATGGAAAATAAACAAAAAGGCAGACTGAATGCTCAGAAACAGCATGTGATCTGGAATGTTGTTCACTGCTTCTTTCAGCAAGCCACAGAAAGATAACAAAGGCTACTGCGCCCAGTACAGAGGGGAGGTGTGTAAAGCTGTCCTGGCAAAAGACGCTCTTGTTTTCTTCAACAACTCCTACGCAGACCCTGAGGAGGCCCAAGAACTACTGGTTCATACTGCCTGGAATGAACTGGAAGCAGTGAGCCCATTCTGCCGGCCAGCTGCTGAAGCTTTGCTCTGTAACCACATCTTCCAAGAATGCAACCCTGGGGTGGTACCTACTCCTATACCCATTTGCAGGTAAAATTAAAAAATAAATAAATGGGGAAATTCTGTTTGTCTGCAAACAGGGAAAGTTTTCAAAAGAGGAAGTTGTCAGGTGCAGGAGTAAAGGCAAAAGCTGGCTTTTGTGCAGACTACAAGGTAATTAATTGGACAAAATTCTTACCCTGTAAATCCCTGATGAATGATACATTATTATACATGGAACTTCCCTGGTGGCTCAGATGGCAAAGAATCCGCCTGCAATGCAGGAGACCTGGGTTTGATCCCTGGGTCAGGAAGAACCCCTGGAGAAGGGAATGGCAACCCACTCCAGTATTCTTGCTGGAGAATTCCATGGAAACAGGAGCCTGGCAGGCTACAATCCATGGGGTCACAAAGAGTCGGACACAACTGAGCAACTAACGCTTTAACACTGAGCTAGAAAATGTCATAAGAGGTATAATATTCTATTTGTTATTGTTTACATTATTTTCATATTCATAGATATCCCTGCTTTCTAGGAAGTAAAAAACAAAATCCCAAACTAACATGGATTTCATTGGTAAACCAAGAAAGAGAAAATAAAGACTATATAAAGTGTTTCAACATTATTTGCCAATAAACATGAGATCTTGGTGAGCATTTCAGAATATTAAAGATACATTCCACTCAATATTCTTAATTTAAGTACTGACACTCTGGTCTCATGGAGGGGTGGAAGTAGTTATAAATATTTCTTTAAATCCCATACCCTGTAAGCATTGAAATTTATAAATCCAAGTTCAATAGAACTATCTTTGCCTCTATTTACTTTTTATAAAGCAAAGATAGGAATCAATATGAATTTTGAGCTAATTAGAACAAAGTTCAAATACTGTTTATACTACTTTCGAGATGTATATGATGTGGGCTAAATTCAGTTTCCTCATTCACAAAATAGAGTTGACAAGATTAAAAGATAAACTGCATCCAAGGCATATATTAGAAACTGGATAGATGCTGTTTACTTTTCAAGGAAACAGGAAGACTATCAACATAGAACTTTTCCATCTGTTTCAGTAAAACCAGGAACTACTTAAATACTGAAATAGTTTTTAAGTGCTCTATTTAGCATACAAGGGGACTATGGGGAGGTTATTAAAACACAGTGCCCCATTCTTCAACTTACTGCGGATTTTGAAGGTTTGGAGACATTTTAAGACTATAACAATTTGTTATTTCTTCAGTTAAGAGTATGTTTTAATCAGGTATGACATCTAGATATCTCTTGGGGAACAACCAGAATTAAACTGAAGTGTTCTTCGTACTCTAGCACAAAATAAATTTATTGAGTAACTTTTCAACATTTACGCCCTAGACTAGTTTACATGCATAGGCCACAGATGTCTTTTCTCAGGATTGAAGATAATTTAAATTTTTTTTAGAAAAATAAATTTGTTTCTATTAAGAAAAAAAAATCTCTTTCATTGAGATGTCAAATTTATTAGAATAGCATAATTATCTCTTAAATCTATAAGCCATTAAATGTTTTTTCCTAATTCTAGTTACTATTTAAACAAGTATTTTTAATCTGAAAATTGTTTCAATTTTTTAATCCTTGTAAACAATTTATTAATATTGGGGTCAAAAAATAAGTCTAGAAATTTTCACATTTTATTGTTTTTTTCTCTCAAATATAATTAATAATTGTTTAAAAATTAGACATTTAAAAAGATTTGGTCTCTGCTTTTAAGGTACAAAATTCATACATATTATATAGGTATTAGTGTCATGAGTAATTAAGTTGTCCGATCCTTTCGGCTGTTAAATGAGTTTTGCCTATTTGATTCAATGCAATAATCCCTTCCCCAAGAACTGTTTTTTTCTAAGAAAATTTTCCTGCAGTCCTGGTAACTTCTGCTTTTTGTTCCAATAACATTAGGATTAAAATTCAGCTCATTGTAAATAACTAGTAAGTTTGCTCTTCAGATATTCTCATTTTGTCCCCTTGCATTTGTATTATATCTTTTTTTTTTTTTTTTTGGAGGCTAATTACTTTACATCATTGCAGTGGTTTTTTCATACATTGAAATGAATTGTATTATATCTTTTATAATAGTTTCTGTTTGCCTTGATATTTCCAGGTGGTTCAAAAGTCTCCAACCATGTTATATTTTACTGCTACTTATTTGTAAGACTTTTAAACACATACTATTCGTCACGGTTTTCTAATCATAAACAATAACTTGATCACTTGTGCCTCTTTCAATGGATGATAAGGAACTTCATTTATTCAGTAAACATTTATTGAGCTCCTATTGGGTTCTAAGCACTATTCTAGGGCATTTGTCCATGGGGTGTATATTGCAGCAGCAGAAGTCAGTGAGCAAGATACATGATAAATAAACAATTTATATATTACCTTTGAAGGTATTAAGTGTCATAGGAAAGGGGAAAAGTGCACCAGAAGTGGCAAAAGTCATATTTAAGAAGTGCCAAAAGTAAATTTTAAAAGAGTGCTATAGGTAGTCCTAAATAGTTAGGGTAACTGTACTGAATCCTCCATTCTTGCTTTTTGAAACTTTTTGTGGAATTATAAACCAGGTTAGTGTTAGTCAATTATGTTGTATTTGCATTTGGGGAATATTATTAGCTTTGACATAACTGCATAGTCACGTACACAGCAAGTACCTGGAAGAGTTCTTTATTTGTTCTCGCTGATCTGTCATTTGTTCCATAGAAAAATCTTGTCGTTGTTAAGTTCTCAACTTTGATTCACCTCTTGTTCAGCTAGAACAGAGGTTTCACATATTACATGTAAAAAATTATTTTTTACAATATTACATATGTGTGTGTTTGACTGGTACTTAAGTCTTGTGCTACCTTCAGTTTTCCTTAAAATTCTTGCATACTGACCAGCTGTGGGGGCTATGCTGTAATGAAGACCATATAAGGAAATCCTGAATTTTGTTCCTTTGTGGGGAATATTTTTCTCTTGCCAGATAATAGTAAGATTATGTCTTTAATTCCTGAGATTCAAAATACTTATAAAATTCACCTGGGAGTAGACTTCTTTCCTATAAGTAATATAAAAATAATGGCTAATATATTTTCCTCATCAGATTTATATCCTTTTTAAGAATGTTTTCTTATAGTGTATCTCTGAATATTTTTCTATCTTTTTTATGTGCTCTAGTTTCTTGTTGGGATACATTGTTAATTTATACTTTGAATTTCTTGCTTGATTCTTCCTCTCCTTATCACCTTACCCACCATTTTTATCTTTTATTCTTTCTTTCTGCATTCAGTTTAGAACTTCTAAAGTTTTCCTCTATCATTTGTTCAATATCTTGCCAAGTCTTTCTTTTTCAATGGAGATTTCACATGTTTCAGTGGAACAAAGTTGTTTTCACTTTTTTGTAGTCTTCATTTTCTTCAGTCACTGTCATGTTTAACTTAACCTAGTTTTCAGTCTATTTCCTTTTCATTTTGATTTTTTCCCTGCTAAAAAACTCTTCTGTAAAGGCCATGCTTCAGTGAAAGGCTTCAGATCAATGAAAACAAAAAATATTTTTAAATTCTCTAGTGTGTGTTTTTAACTTATAATAAAAAACAACTTTCCCAGGTATTTGCTTTTCTTCACATAATGTGGGGCTAGTTTTCTCATATGTCCCATGTTGCTTTTGCACAGTTCAATTATAACATCTGAATGCAAAAAGGTGCGCTTATGTGACTCAAGGATGGAACCCAGCATAGTTAGAAGCAAGCCAAGCAATGTTTCTACTGTTCAGCTTCTCAGAAGGCTGAAAGCCCCATTGCTTTCCCTTCCCTTGCAGACACATTAAGAATCTACAACTCATTGTTACACTCATGACCCTCATTGTATCCCATCACATCTGTATGCACAGCCCAGTCATTTTACACATGCTCATTTGGTCCCTATTGGTAAGTGGTTGCCTGGAAAAGTGGGAGTGTAGGCATGAGTATTAAAGAACACATATGTATATGTAGGTATACATACACATGTATGGACACACACTTTCCTACTCTATACTTCAAATATTGAATGAATAACATTGCTACTATCCTTAATTTCTTTAATCTTTAATATCCTCTTATTTATGTATCCCAAGTATCTTAATTTGGAACTAACCTGGTTTCTCCTGTGTAGTGTATCTTATTTTCTATAAGATAAACTTGAACAAATATTAATCCACAAAGTTCTATATAATCCAACTAGTCTACCTAGTCTTTCGGCAGCCTCTTCACTCATGGGTGTGTTAGTCTCTTAGTCGTGTCTGGCTCTTTGAGACCCCATGGACTGTAGCCCCCCAGGCTCCTCTGTCCATGGAATTCTCCAGGCAAGGGTACCGGAGTGGGTAGTCATTTCCTTCTCCAGAGTCTCCACTCATAGTACAACACAGAGATGACAGGTACAGCTTCATCTTCACATAGACATTACTCTAGCTCTCTCAGATGAAAGCACACACAGCAATGGGGCAGGATGCAGCTTCTCCAAGTGCAGGGCAGGGTATGGACCCCCAAGCTCTTCTATAACCATCCAGGAAGGTGATGGTATTCTGTTTCAGAGACCAAAGCACACAGAAACACTTGACTGTGTTCCTCAAGCCCTGCCCATCAGCCCTGAGATTATAGAAAAACCTCTCAGGCTGGAGACTGCTTGATCCATGACTTCAGTGTGTGTGCTTTTAAAGTTCTGTATGACTTGTTTCTGAACCTTTGTGGCAATTTTAATATGAAGTTGAGAGAAAACATACCGGGGATTTCTAATCTTTTTTACCTTTTGAACTTGAAAGTTCTTTCCTCCAGTAGCATTAGTGATATTTTAAAAACAAGATAGTATTTCATCTCACAGGATAATATACTGTATATTTCATTAAGTCTCATGTTATTTACAAAAGGATCGAAACAAAGACACTTTTGCAAGAGCAGACACTGTACTACAATGATGCTCTGAAAATACAGGATTTGGGCTCCAATTTGGATTCAGCGTGCTATGATTCATTAAATTTTGTTCTCCCTAAATCATTTTAGAGAATACTGCTTGACAGTAAAGGAGCTCTTCTGTGCAAAAGAATGGCTGGTGGTGGAAGAAAAGACCCACAGGCGACTCTACAGATTTGGGATGCTTCTGTTCTCCATGCCAGACTGCAACAAACTCCCCAGCACGCACTGGGACCCCATGGCCTGCACCAGACTGCCATACTTAGGTAACAGAGTTCTCTTGAGATGCTGGAGGTTCAGAGAAATTTACTATTTTGAGGAAACTAAGGTGTGAATTTAAATCTCCTAACATTTCTAGACATTTCTATCTTTTTTTTTTTTTGAGTTCTGCCTTCCTTCCATACCTAATAACAGAATCCTACTGCTATCCTAGTTGCACCAATTAGCATAAGGATTTATTCCATTTGTTCTAAAAGAAATTAAAGAGTACTTTTCAGAGCTGTTGAAGATCTTACCTTACTTCATAAGCAGATCTGATGACAGCTTATAACATTTTTTGGAATGTGCAGAGCAATGGCTAAGAAACATCTCATATTTTGTCAGAGAAGTGGAATAAAGAAATAAAGTCCTCTTTCTTAGCCAAGGAAGCAGATTTTTCAGCATGCAAAAATAAGCCACATGTTTGAAAATGCTGATCTCACGAAACAAAGCTGAATGGCTGCATGTTGCTTTAATGAACTTCATTTGTAAGGAACTATGTGGTTAGCCCTAACAGCTGGATTCATTCCAAAGACGCAATCCTTTCACATTTGAATGCAAAAAAATGTTTTCCCGTTGTATATTAAAAAGCTGAAAGAGAACCTGCATTTCTTAGCACTCTCTCACAGAACATAGGAGCTATCTGGATGTTCCTAAAACAAATTTTTATCCTTTCCCCTTCAGATTATAAAAAAGGAAACCTAACAAGTAAGTATTTTTGTTTGTGCCCTTGAAACCTTATGTGTATGTAACTGAATTCATGCATGCGTATTTACACCCATATTTCATGATGTCTAGGACAAAGTACAGTCTCTCTCTTAAAGGCTTTTCACTATACTCATCCAGGGTAGAATACAAAGGCAGATCATTGGAGATCCCAGTTTATAGCTCCTAATTAGGCCATGGAGAGCACCATATTTAATGAATGATATAAATCCTATTTCCATCCCAAAGTTATTGAGCAGCATTGTCCCTTCTATGGCTATAAAATAAGCCAATTTAAATTATCACCTTTTGATTTCACATTCACGATTTTTATATCACCTAATTCCTAATTCTTTATAGAGGAAAAAGTGTTTTGTGCCCTTGAAACCTTATGTGTTTGTAACTGGATTCATGCATGTGTATTTACATCCATATTTCATGATGTCTAGGACAGAAGTATAGTTTCTCTTAAAGTACAGTCTCTCTTCATTGAGCCAATTCATTCTCTTCCTTTGTGAAAACTGATCCTTCTCTTGGAAGATAGGTGTCTTTTAAAACAGCTAGTTTTCAGTATATACTTTACAGGGTCAAATCAAATGGTTTTAAAGGAGTCATCTCAAAATCTCTAGGAAAGAATTTTGCAATCTTATCTACAGACCTTCCCCAACTCAAGAATGAAACTTGTAGGTACCCTTTTAGAAAAGCAGGGGGACTGCTTGATTCAGGCTCTGGCACATGTTATTCCTTCTTTGTGAAATATTATCTCTCCTGACTCTCCCCACCCGCTTCCTCCATGGCCACACCCACACATATACCTTCCACCAGATACACCTACTCACTCTTAATATTTAACCTAAAGTTACTCTAGAAAACCTAGCTAGAATGCTGAAACCTGGACTTGAGCCCAAGAATACCCCTGGATTCTCACAAGCATCCTTGTTCTCACCACTCTTGTAACACTCTTTATATTTTATTGTAATTATTTGTTTTCTAATTGCTTCTAAGTACTTTAACATAAAGAGTTGTCATGTCCACCACAGTGTCCTTGACACTTAACAATCAATATTCATTTAATAAGTCCATTAATATGTGGATGAATGAGTGAATAAGACTCCTCTAATGTTCAAAGGCAAAGGATAAAGAGATAACATCGACGAGAGAAGAAAAAGATTAAAAGGAAAGAAACTGGAGACTCAAATTGATAATGTGGACCCAAAGAGATAATTGATATTGCTCTAGGGAAGATGAGGGCAAATCGATCAGAAACAATAAACAAGAACTGAGAAAGTAAAACTCTCCTGAAAGAAGAAACAATTAAACCCATAAACAATTAAATGCATAAAATTCTTGTTGAACCTGTGCCAATTTTTCATTTTGGAAAAAAAACTTACTAAATCATCATGGCTTATTCTAATTTTCTGATAATATTGATAAACAAATCACCCTTTATATACACTAATAAGGTTGCACTGCCAATTTCATAAATTTCAATACATTCCTTCACATGTTAAATATGGTATGAATGGCTCTGGTGAAATGCAGATACAATAATAGTCCCCTCTCTCTTTTAATGATTGTTCCTGCTTTCTTATTAGCAGGAAGGTTAGCTCTCCAATTTAAATCCCCTTTCCCACTCATCTGGTGGCTCACCTGGTAAAGAATCTCCCTGCAATGTGGGACACCTGGGTTAAACCACTGGGTTGGGAAGATCCCCTGGAGAAGGAAAGGCTACCCACTCCAGTATTCTGGCCCGGAAAATTCTTGGGGTCGCCAAGAGTTGGACATGACCAAGCAACTTCCACTCACACTTCACTCCCACTCATCTTGGATTGATTTTTTAAATCTTTGAATGTCTCAGCTCAAAGAAAGTCACAGCAGCTTTCAAACCATCACAGAGGAACCTGGGAAGTCTGTAATATCCATCACTGCTGTGACGCTTGATGAGAAATGCTATCATTGGTCCTGCACAGATATTTTATTGCTGTGCTGAGTTCCTTCTAGTTCCAGGGCCTGCTGGAGTCACAGGGGTGACCAAACTCGGTCTCCATAGGCTTTAAAACCCACTTATTTGGCTGTTGGTGCTCAGGGCAAAATCACTGTGTCCACAACTAGACTAAAAAGTCATACATGGGCATCCCTTATAATCTCTGCTTTTACAAGTATCCTACTTCAAATGGCTTCAAGCATTGACAGCAAGGAAAGTTTTCCTTTGACTTCGTGATGTGTTATATTAATATAGCTCCTTCTATGAAATCATTGTGTGTGTGTGTGTGTTTTACTATATTGCAGTTAATTGTTAATATTTCATTTAGGATCTTTTAAATCTATGTTCTATAATCTATGTCTGCACTTTTCTTCTGTGCTAACATTGTCAGGTTGTGATATTAGTATTATAACTTTCTAAAACAACCTGAAAGATTTTTCTCTTACTGGAACATACTATAAAACTGTAGAAATTGTATCTCTTCTAAGACTGAAAGAATGTAATCATAATACTATAATGACTTAAATTTCCTGGTTATGACTATTTTCAGATTTTTTAATTCTTCAATTTGGTAATTAATGTTTCCATCATTTCCCTCAAGATTTTTAAAATGTAACTCCATAGTTATATATTACTTCATTTTTATTGACATTTTAATCTATTGCTAAAATGACTTTATCATTCCTAATTTTGTATGTTTGTGCTTTTCTTTTTCTTTTAAAATTAAAATGTCACTGATTAGACTACTTTATAAATATTTATAAGACTATTGACCTATTTTTAAGTCTATCATTTGTGTTATGTGTATTCTAACTTATTAATTTCTGCTTGTACATGACTGTTACTTTATCACCTGTTTTTCTTTGTTTTCTGCCGATTTTGTTTCTTTTCCATCTTGAATTAACTGTTCAGCTCATTCACTTTCATTATTTTAATCTAATGGGAGGAGATAATGGATTGAGTTTATCACTGAGCACATCTTTGGCCAAATCTCATAAACACTGTTAGGAAGTTATTTTGTAATCTGTAACTATGGTTAATTTCTACTCTTTGATTGAAAGGTTATCAATTTTTTTCTTTTGTTTAATGTCCTATTGGATTTTATCTAATCTACTATTAATTGCATTTTGATCCAAGAATAGATCTGCATAATTTCTTCTTTTGAAATTCACTTGGATTCATAATCTTAGTAATTATGACCTGACAAAAAAGATTATGTCTTTGTGGTATCCCACAAATATTTGAATATAAAGTTTCTCCCTCTTTTTAGAGTACAAAGTTCATTCTTTACTATTAAGACATTCTTGTTGATTATGAAAATATTTTCTATACATGTTGTCTTTACTCAGTCAAATAAAAGGATTTAAAATATAATTCATAGTGTGGTTTCAATAGACATACAATGGACTTTGCACCCCATGAACAGAGAGATTTAGTATGACATCTCTTGGTTTCCCTGGTGGCTCAGACGGAAAAGAGATTTAGTGAGATTTAGTATGATATCAGGGGTTTTCCCAGTGGCTCACATGGTAAAGAATTTGCCTACAATGCTCGGGAGACCCAGGTTCGATCCCTGGGTGGGGAAGATCCACTGGAGAAGGGGAATGGCAACCCACTCCAGTATTCTTGCCTGGAGAATCCCATGGACAGAGGAGCCTGGTGGGGTGGGGCACAGTCCATGGAGTCGCAAAGAGTTGGACACGACTGAGTGACTAACACACATATTTTTGGTTCCCAGCAGTAATACAGATTTTACCTTATTTGTACATTGCACTGACCTTTTTAAAAGGAGTTTGAAATGAGTTTGACTGTTAGATGAACCAGCTTTCTCATTGAGTCCTATTATTTCCATTTGCCACATTCTTCCATTTGTTTTTGTAAATCAACAATACGTATGTATAAAAGCTCAGCTTCAGACATTCCTGACTTTAATTTCATAAAAATATTTTACTTAATAACAATTTCCATGATTGCTGTCAGGTCATAAACAATATGATGCATGTAAAGAACACTAGCTTAGGATCTGCATTTTTCTTGAAAAAAACATGTTCTTTCTCTGTGTCTCATCTTTAAAATTCTATGAGTCTATAAGCTGAATAACTCAGACAGTAAAAAATGTCCCTGCAATGCAGGAGACCTGGGTTTGATCCCTAGGTTGGGGAGATCCCTTGGAGAAGGTAATGGCAACCCAATCCAGTATTCTTGCCTGGAGAATCCCAAGGACAGAGGAGTCAGGTGGACTACAGTCTGAAGGGTTACAAAGAGTTGGCCATGACTGAGTGGCTAACACACATAAGCTGGATTTACTTACAACTGGACCTCACTGGATTCTTAAAATTGCACTTTATAGATATAAAACCAGGGAGAACCTGATACATAAACACATGGTCTTAAATTTACTTTACTGATTGCTTGAATACAAAAGTTGCTTCTTAAAAGTTTAAGAATGAATGAAAACACTGTTGTTGACTTACAGCATTCCCGCCAATGACGTCCTCAAAGCCGAGTGTGGACATTCCAAATGCGTCTTCCTCCTCCTCGCCCTCCTTCTCTGTCTCACCTACGTACTCTATGACTGTAATAATCTCCATCATGTCCAGCTTTGCCATATTTGTGCTTCTTACCATAACTACTCTTTATTGCTGCCGAAGACGAAAACAATGGAAAAATAAGAAAAGGTGAGATTTTGGTTTAAGTTGATCACTTAACAGTTTAAAATTTTTATTTACTTCACATTGAAGCTGGAGATGGGAGGAAGGATATATACAGTCTCCTATGACACCCACTGCCATGTTTTAAAGTTAAGCAGCCCCATCATGATCTTTAAAAATGTCAATGACTTTTTGCATAGGATCCCTTGTCCTAAGGTTAGTTTCTTGCATCAGATAGAATCTAAACCAAAATTTGGAAAAATATGGTTGTTCCTCCTCCCCATTAGCCCCCTCAGCCCCACTGCCACTACCAGATTGGATGGTGACAAAATTCCTGAAGAAAAAAAAAGTGTCTTTAGACTCCAATCCAAAATTATTTGTTGCTCTAAAACAGAAGGATCTTTCATAAACTTAGCATAATTTGTTTTGCTTCCTCCTAAACACCTGTGTCTCTGTCAAACCTGAGTACAAAGCTCTCTCCTGGTCCTCAGCTCATTACTGATCTTACCTGTCTTACCTGCAGAGAATCAGCAGCAGTAACCCTCACGACGCTTCCTTCTGAGCTCTTGCTAGACAGACTTCATCCCAACCCCATGTACCAGAGGATGCCACTCCTTTTGAATCCCAAATTGCTCAGTCTGGAGTATCCCAGGAATAACATTGAATATGTGAGAGATATCGGAGAGGGAGCATTTGGAAGGGTCTTTCAAGCAAGGTAAAGTTGCCCACATCAAAAAAAAAAAAAAATCTATCCACTAAAACACATGGTGATGTCTATGTAATTATATATATTTATTATCAAATTAGCTAAATCTTCACAACATTCACCTTGTTTTGGGTACTGTAGTTTGAGTCTTGATAGTTTTCCCTCTTTGCTGGAAAATAGGGTTATATATATGGAGAGAATCTTTATAAAGTGTTCTATAAGCAATTTGCAAAATTGAATATTTTTCAGAAGAGAATTTTGTCAGACATTTTAAATCAATTTCTTGCATTGCTTTTAGTAATATTTCTAAAATCTCTTCCATTTTCAATTGCTATAGTCTTCACTTCATTTAAAATTTTCTTTGAACTAATGTTTCAGTTTAAGAACTCAGAGCCTGACATGTGTAGATATTAAATAGATGTTCACAGAATGGCAAGACAGAAAAGGGAAAAAATAATGTAAAAATGGCAGATAACAATGTGCTCAAGAAAGGAGTTGTATTAGGGCCAATGCTAGCCCAATTAATGTCTTTATGTGAGTTGGAATAAAATAACTTCTCTTTAGACAGCTCCACAGAAACACAGCTAGGCCACAGAATGTAGACTTGGTTTTAATCACCGATTGTCACTTTGGCCTGTTGCTTCTTGGGCAGGACACAACATTACCTCTATACATAATGGCCCTAGTATGGAGGTTACATGATTAATGAAAATCTCACACAAATATTGGGAACCAAAAAAAAAAAAAAAAAAAGAAGGGCTCCCTAGGTGGCGCTAGTGATAAAGAACCTGCTTACCAATGCAGGAGAGTAAGAGACGCAGGTTCGATCCCTGGGTTGGGAAGATCCCCTGGAGGAGGGCACGGCAACCCACCCCAGTATCCTTGCCTGGAGAATCCCATGGACAGAGGAGCCTGGACGGCTACAATCCATTGGGTCGCAAAAAATTGGACACGACTGAAACTACTTAGCATGAATGCAAAAAACTGAAAGGCACACTTTGAGGCCTTTAAATATAAAGATGAAAAAGTCACAGTTCCTGCCTTCTAGGAATTTAGATTCTAGCCAGATATTAAGGGATTACAATGGTAATGATCATCTGGGCACTTCTGATTTCCTGTTATTTGTAAATAATGCATCTTCAACCTTAATCTGTGTTGAAAATAACACTAGTGATTTTTAACTGGAGTCAAGAAGTTTTAAGTGTGACCCGCCATTGGCATCTTTCTCTGGTTCTGTGGCTCTGGGAAAGGCTGCATGAGTCGGGGGATGTGACAAACATAGGTAGTTATCATGTAACATGTGTAATACTCCTGATCTTTGATTTCTTGCTCAATAAATGTGTCTCTCAGGGCTCCAGGCTTACTTCCCTATGAACCTTTCACAATGGTGGCAGTGAAGATGCTCAAAGAAGAAGCCTCAGCAGATATGCAAGCAGACTTTCAGAGGGAGGCAGCCCTCATGGCAGAATTTGATAATCCTAATATTGTGAAACTCTTAGGTATGAAACTCATAGATACAAGTGGAGAAATGTATGCATCAGAAAACAGAGACTTGCAAGTTTTCTCCTTTAACCTTCACTTCTGTTTTTTCTTTCATTCCTCAATCAGAGAGATGTCTCTGTTCCTCTCCATAGAATATTTTCTGTACCAGGGAATAGAATATTCCCTTAAATCACTTAAGTTCAAAAAATTGGAGTTTTAAAAATTTTCTCAGAGAAATGTTTTGTCACTTCATTAACTTTCTTTTACCAATTTTATATTTTAATTGTTCATTTATTTTATATAGTTCATATAAATATACCAATTGCTAAAGTCCCTAGAATTAAAAGCTAACCCCAAAAGAAGCAAGCCAAGATAATAGTATTCTCATTTCCTTTGCTTATTGAACAGAGGCTTCTAATTTTTGCCTGAAAAAATAATGGAGTTAATAAGCTATGTTTATGCTGGTGTGAAATTGTGACCATCTGATCTAATATTTCAAGTTGTCCAGTTTCCCTCTCAAATACAGAAAAATTTTATTATCAACAAATGCCTTTCTGGTACTAAATCCAAGGTTCTATTTATATTAACTTTTTTTTTCTTTCTGGAAAATAAACGTTTGTAAATTTACCTAAATGTTTAACTGCAGTAACCGGAATATTTCATCTAAGATCTTTGACTGTTTTTCTCCTCTTTTTAAAATTTCACAAAATAAGTTTCCTTATCATCCTTCTTCTGAGAGGAAGCAGAAAAACAGAGCAATTATATTACATATTCAAAGCAAACATCCATTCATAAATTCATTTGCTTAATATTTATGGACTACTTGCTCACCAGAAACGTGGTAGGCATGTGGAATTGAAAGAAGTCTTAAGACAATAATCTCTGTTTTTAAAGGGCTAAAATGTTGGGGGGAGAAGCCTCAGCTGAATGGATAATTATAACAGGCTGGTAGGTAGGATGCAGGATTAAGGATAAAGAATGATGGAAGGAAAATCTGATCCAGGAAAGGTCAGGACAGAGGCCCCCTCAGAGGAGGGATAAATCAACTGAATCTTAAGAGAGAAGTAGATGTTTACACAAAGAAAGGGGGTCAGGGTTCGACTATGATGCTGTCAATAGAAAACCAAGGCCCCACTTCTTCTGATCCGGTCATTTGCTTTTGGACAATGTGTTCCAATGTGTACTTTAGAAACACACCTCTAACAAGGGGCCTATTTTGGTTGCAGGAGTGTGCGCGGTGGGGAAGCCCATGTGCTTGCTCTTTGAATACATGGCCTACGGGGACCTAAATGAGTTCCTCCGCAGCATGGCCCCGCACCCCGGCCGTGGCCTCAGTCCCAGCGACCTATCCCCCGGCTCACAGGCCTCCAGCCCCGGCCCCCCGCCCCTCTCCTGCGCAGAGCAGCTGTGCATCGCCAGGCAGGTGGCCGCAGGCATGGCCTACCTCTCCGAGCGCAAGTTCGTCCACCGCGATTTGGCCACCAGGAACTGCCTGGTGGGTGAGAACATGGTGGTGAAAATCGCCGACTTCGGCCTTTCTAGAAACATCTACTCGGCGGACTACTACAAAGCCAATGAAAACGATGCCATCCCCATCCGTTGGATGCCCCCCGAGTCCATCTTCTACAACCGCTACACCACGGAGTCTGACGTGTGGGCCTACGGGGTGGTCCTTTGGGAGATCTTCTCCTACGGCCTGCAGCCCTACTACGGGATGGCCCACGAGGAGGTCATCTACTACGTGCGGGATGGCAACATCCTCTCCTGCCCTGAGGACTGCCCGCTGGAACTGTACAATCTCATGCGTCTGTGTTGGAGCAAGGTGCCTGCAGACAGACCCAGTTTCAGCAGCATCCACCGAATCCTGGAACGCATGTGTGAGCGGGCGGAGGGCGGTGGGGGTGTCTGAGGTCCAAGATGGGCGAAGAGACATCGCCAGTCTCTTCTCAGACTCTGGGAGCCAGAGGAGTGCAATGCCTGAGCCCCCAGGAGACCCAGATAGCAAAGAATAGTAGCAGACGTGGGTACCATGCTGCTTGCTTCTCAGAAAAAAAAAAAAAAAAGACTGGGCAGAACTCCTGAAGTGGGTGGAAATTGGGTGAAGGGAAAGGCAGGTGAGAAAACGTGTCAGATAACCGGAGGTAACTACTCTTCCTCACGGGGAAAGTTTGTATTACATATTGTACTGGAAAGAATGCCATCCTGTTCAGTCCCTGAGTTAGCTGGCAGCAGAATAAGGCTCTGCTGTATTAAATTTTAATATGAACTGCGGTTGAGAGCTTCATTTTTAATAGAGTTCATTCCTGTCCACTAGGAAAGTAGTGTATCTTCCCGTAAGAAATTCAGCTCAAGCACAGAAAACTCCAAAGAAGGAAAAACCGCTCATTGTCTCCGCACCCAAAAATGGGTGTTGGTTTCTTACTCAATTTCTTTCTCGAGTTTAATGCACACTTTTATATTTGTTTGTATTCGACAAAGTTGTGGTTTACTTTATTGATAGAGGGTTTCCAAGGAATAAAGTGATAATCGGCAAGGTTATATTCTTATTGTGATTTTTAGTTCTCTTTTTCTTTGTTTCTTCTTTAGAAGCTTTCCTTTGTGCACACGTGTCATGAATTTAATCTGCTTACTTTATTCTTACAGGTTTTTTTTTTTCCTGAAAATGTCTTTTGTGTCTATTTACCTTTTTTTTGAAAATTTTATTGGTATCTTTTTCTTTGTCTCATCTTTCTTTATTTAGGACTTGGTTCCTTTTTGGTTATTTAGCTATTTTTTCCTTTTATTTAACCTATACAACACACACCTTGGCAGGAATAATAATTTTCTAAGTAACATTGTGGACTGTTACATATATACCTTTTGCAAAGTATATCATTATTACTGTTTTCTTCTGTACCTGCTTTTGAAATTACCCATTTCAAAGTTGTCATTCATTAATGTTATTGCCACAGACTATTCCACAGTTTATAACATGGGAATTCACAAGATGCTCTTATGACTGAGTTATTTCAAACTATTTTTGTTCATTCTGATATTTTTTTTCCCTTCTAGAAACCAATTTGATAGGTAGTAGGATTAATATAGGGCTATTCACCAACTTTCTGCATGACTATTCACCTGTCTTGTTACATCTTATGATTCTTAAAAAGAAAAAAACAAGACAAAACAAAACCATCTGAAACTCAGATTCTTGGTGCGCAAGATTTCCCAGTGGAGTACACACAATATATCTTTATCTGAAGCCAACATGGATGATATGCATCTCTTCCTGATATTATATAACACAGATTCTCCTGAAAAGCAAATAAACGGGAAAGAGAAAATAGCAGTCTACTCTATGGCCAGTTTACTTTCATGCAACCTAATGGGTAGTAAGGACAGTGGAGAAACGGTCTGAATTCTTGAAAGTAGATTTTCTGGCTACTTTCGGTCCGTCCTCCAGAGGGCTCTGCCTGATATCTCCAACCGCACCTGCACACAACAACTTTGTCATCTTTGCGAGAAAATCTGCCATGCCTTGTTCACAGTCACTCCAGGTAACCAAGACAAAAACACAGTTTTCCCTCTCTTTCACCCATGAAAACTCTTATCAGTTTTACTTTCTAAAACCCTCCTGTGCACACCACCTCCCCTTCAAAGCGACCACCCACTGTTCAAACTCTATTGCTATCTCTTCTCTCATCTTTCTCCCATTTCAGGCCAGATAAGATTCCATGGGCTATGACAATACAAGCTGACTCACAATTCAGATTAGTTAGGACTGAGACCTTGAGAGGTGCCTTAGATTCAAATAGTGATTTGAGACAGTCATCCAAAGAGCTAGATGAAGAATGAGGTTGCAATATGAGTCTAAGAAAGAAGGTCAAGAGGCCAGCAAAGCAGAAAACTTGGAGTGGACCACCATCAAGTCTAAAACTTTCCTGTAGACATTCATGGCATGACACATGTATGTCATATAGGCTCTGAAAACTTCAAAGACATCTTTTTCCTCAACTCACAGAGTTTTATTATAAAAGAAAGACATGCAGTCAGGCCAATCAGGAAAGCTACTCTATTGAAAAGCAGGGGGACTTCCCTGCTTGTCCAGTGGCTAAGACTCCAAACTCCTAATACCGAGACCTCAGGTTCAATACCTGGTCAGGGCACTAGATCCCACATGCCATAATTAAAAACCCTACTTGCTGCAGCTGAGATATGGCACAGCCAAATGAAATAAATAAAAATAAAATTGAAACAAAATAAAAGCAGAGTCAGGGTAGTGAGAGTTACTTGGAGGACCTGCCATGGGGCTGGTGCAGCCGAGATCGTGTCGCCCTTAAGAGCCAGGTTTCCACTGGCCTGTTCTGCTGTCTGCCACTTTGAGCTTGCTTTGCTTCCCTCCCCACTGCAGGGTAACTGCCCTTACTTTCCTGTCTCTTCCTCATGACTTCTCCAACCTCACAGATTCTCTGTCTGTGTGCCCTTTAGGTGCTAGTGTTCAAGATCTCAAAGCAAAAATAATCATAGATATATCGGCTAATATAGTGAATGAATAAGTGGACAAGCAAGTAACTATTATAAAACCCATCCAATTTTATTAAATATTTAAAGGAACTGAAAACTAAAATAGCAGCTAGAAACCTCAGTAATACTATCAGCTAGCATTTCTTGAATACTTACCATGTATATTCTAAGGCCTCTAAATATATATATTTATTTCAATTAAAGTAAATGTATTAACTTAAAACATAACATCCCTGTGATGTTGGTAGTATCATTATGCCCTTTTTTAGGTGAGGACACAGGCACAGAGAGGTTATGTAACTGGCCTAACCACACAGAGCAGCAGATCCTAGGTTGTGACAAGAGGTTGAACTCTCAGTCACCATGGCAAGGTGCTTCTAATGATTCCAGAGGAAACAACTGAAGCTCGATGACTCTGAGGAGGTGATTTATAATTTGCATCTGGTTTCAAAGCATACAGTATATCCCTTCTACTACTGATTTCCTACCCAATTCTTTTCATTGAATAACAAGTATATTTTAGCATTATTGATTTTATAAAAAAAAAATCCAACTGATGGAATGTGTATATTTTGTGAGCTCTAAATGCATTTTTAGGCTATGTCAAGATCACTGTCTTATTTCCTTGGTGCTCATCCCAAGGTTCTGTATCTCAGGGACAAGGGCCCAGTATTTACCAGTATTTTTTCTTTTGTAAATACAGATTTCTTTTTCCATTGTAAAATCAGTGTATAAATTAAAAAAGAGAGATCAGGAGAGACATTTACAGGGCTGTTGTCACCAACAGACAGGACCAGCATCAGTAAAGCACCTGCAAGTGATATTAAGTGGCAGAATATTAAATATGACGAGTTCCAGGGACTGCACGTAGTGCCAAAAGAATGCATTTGCTGGTATCACAATTGAGCAGGAAAGGGGCCCTCCTTCCAGTCTGCAGGATATTATAAACCTGTTCTATGTCATTCACTGTATTTCTAAGAGTATAATTTAATTTCTGAATAATATTCCTTTCTTTGGATGTACCATAATTTAGTTATTTTCCTATTTTTAAAACATTTGGGTTTTTGAACTGAAAACATTTGAGTTTTTTCCAATTTTAAGTATTACAAACAATACTGCATTGGTCATCCTCATTTGCACATGCCATAAATATTTCCTTATAGAAATTCTGAGAAAGAGAATATCCCAGCCAAATGGCATGCACAAAATTGAGGCTTTTGTTATGTGTTGTCATATTCTCTAGAAACATTGTTCTCATCTCTGCACTGTACAGGGGATGTCATAGCCCTAAACATATGCTGTCATACATAGAGAATTAATTCTCTGTTTTTTAGAAGGCTTTTGTCTACTTGATTATAAATAAAGATGATCTCATTTTATTTTATTTTTAAATTACTAATGAGATTGCATTTTCCTTGTTTCTAGATCATTTTATAGTTCTTATTTTGGGAATCATGTATAAGTCATTTTTCTATGGCATAGTTCATCTTCTGATTGATTTGTAAGTCAATTTAATTAATAAATAGTAAACCTTTGTTATACTTTGCACAAAACAGAAAAATATGTACATAGCTTTTATTTTAAAATAGCATTTACTTTATTATTGCAAAAGCATATTTATTTTTTTGAAAAAAAAGCAATAATATACAAATAAAATGAAAAAACACCATTATTGGTAACTAACATTAACTCATGATAAATATTATTGCAGTCTTTTTCACGTAGGTAAGAAGATAGATGAGTAGATGAGAGAGATATAAAGAGATAGATAACCATTTTAAATGAAAACAAGATCATACTGTTGTATTGGTTAAAGCTTTGTTTTTATCAGAGTGTATCACACAACTTCAATATCAACAAATATTCATGTGTAACATCACTTCTGATGATGAAATAATATTCTGTTATATGAAGTTACAACTTACTTAACTATTATTCCAAGGTTGGACATTTAGTTTATTTCTGTTTTTCATTATAAAATACAGTATTTTTATAATCCTATAGTTAAATTTTGTGAGCATCCAGCTCAAGTGATTTCTTTATATATATCTTCTATAAATAGAATTTCTAGATCAAAGGATATACTTTCAATGCTTTTAGTACACTGACCAACTACTTTCCTGAATTATTAATATACAATCTTCCAGCTAGATGACAGTCTTTTTCTTTCAATCAATATACAATCTTCCAGCTAGATGACAGTCTTTTTCTTTCAATTGCAACAATACTGAGTGTGAGCATTTTAATAATTTCCAGTATAATAGTTGAAGTTGTTCTTTTTTTTTTTTTGTAACTTATGCTTACATTTCTTTAAGTAAAATAAGATTGAACATTTTCTCAGTGTTTTGAGGATAGTTGATTTACTCTGTGATTTGCCTCCTACTGTTATTTTTCTATTGGGTAGAT